TATATGTATATATATATATATATATATATATATATATATGTGTGTATGTAATTATTAAAATTTTACAGTAAATATTAAATATAATATAATGTAGCATATAAATAAAATGTAAATAATTACAAATGAAAAAGATTAAATATATATATATATATATATATATATTTAAAATTATATATATTATATATAAAAATGATACTTTATACATAAATATATATACAAATCTAAATGTTTTAATTTGTAATTATTACAATTTTACAGTAAATATTAAATACAATATATATATATAATGTAGCATATAAATAAAATGTAAATCATTACAAATGAAAAATATAAAATTTTGAATATTAATTATGCAATTCATTATATATATTATATATTACACACATATACATATTATTTTTAATAATTTTAAAAGGTATTTATACATTATGCATTTAGGTATTTATACAATTTTCATAAACTTTATTTATGCTCATTTTTATTTATAATTACTGAAAGTGGGATTTTTATATATTTTTTGCTTTACGGTAATGAGAATTTTTAGGGGAAAATATGCTTAAATTGTCGTTTTTAAAAAAGTATAATGTGAAAAAAAATAAAAATTAAATGGTCCTAAAAATAGGCTTCATTGTTAACGCACAATATAATGATCAACCTCTTTCTGTCGACCCAGGGCTTTCTTTGCGAGTTCCATTTAATAATCTAGTCTTTTTCGTTTAACTCGACCTGCAAGACATTAAATACAGATTCAAGAGTAAAACTTCTGGTGCTGAATGCTGATCTTTCTTCATGGTAATAATTCTGCATTTCGTTGGGATTATGTGGTTCATGGTGATATAAATAAACTGTTGGACTCTTGTATGTCAACACTCGATGAAACTGAAATAAAACCCGTCGTTAAGAGCCTCAGCCAATGAAAAACCCATTTCGGTCAACCACTAAACAGCACACAAAAGATGTGTGAATACAAGTACTTACACAAATGACATCTCAGAGTAATAACGGGGTGTTTCAGCCCAACCAGCCTCCCGTTTATGGCCCGTTAACAGCAGGATAATTAGACTAAAGATTAGTGTCTCTTGTGGTCACTGGCCGAACTGATTTAGATAAATAGCAGCGATGAAACCACGCGCTCGGCTGAGGTTAGACGACTGGTTTGCTATATTTAACCTGGACGAGGTTTGGCGAGGCAAAGACAGAAACCGTCTCGCCTACACTTTCCATGTTCTGCGGTGAAGCTTCGGGATCGGTGAAAATCGACGGCTCTGAGAGTCAGGAGCTCATAATGTTTGTTCAGTCAGTGTTAAAGCAACATTAGGGTGGGATACTACTGTATTATTATTATAAACACTTATGTTTCACCTCACTGGTGCTCAAACACTTCATCCATATTCTGTTCATTTTAACAACATACAGATGGGCGAATCTCAGGAACACTGTCGAAAAATCAACCCCATTTCACCCCAAATCACCCCAGAAAAAAATATTTAAATTATTATTATTATTTAGTACCATTAAGACGTTTTGTTATTATTTTCAGAGTGAATATAATGCATACATTTATACCACCAATTGTCAGTAGCCTATTGTAATGTGAACAATATTTGTATTAAATATATATATATATATATATAACATTTAATATTTAAAGTTTTTATTTTGTCAGTAGTCTACTATTTTTAATTTATATATACGGTTTTATTATTTTTTAATTATTTGAATAAAAATGTTAATTTATTTATTATTTTAATCAATCATTCCAACTGAATTTTATTTATGCAAAATTTTAAATTATACACATGCATATATATACATATATGCGTGTATGTGTGTGTGTGTGTGTGTGTGTGTATACAGTGGTGTGAAAAAGTGTTGGCCCCCTTCCTGATTTCTTATTTTTTTGCATGTTTGTCACACTTTAATGTTTCAGATCATCAAACAAATTTAAATATTAGTGTTATTAGGTTTAGGGGGCAAACACTTTTTCACACAGGGCCATGTAGTTTGGGATTTTGTTTTCCCTCAATATTAAAAACCTTCATTTAAAAACTGCATGTTGTGTTCACTTGTGTTATCTTTTACTAATATTTAAATTTGTTTGATGATCTGAAACATTAAAGTGTGACAAACATGCAAAAAAATAAGAAATCAGGAAGGGGGCCAACACTTTTTCACACCACTGTATACACACACACACACGCATATATATATATTAATTTATTGCCAATTTACATTTGAAATTACATTACAATAATTAAAACGAAATATTTTGCATTACGGTATTGGCAACTTCGACAAATCTGCTTCAATTGTCATTTAAAAAATTATAAATGCAAAAAAAAAAAGTGAAAAATAAATGGTCCTAATAAGAGGCTTCATAGTATATGCAAACACAGTTTCCTATTTATTTCTGCCAACCGGGGTCTTTCTTTGTGAGCTTCAGTCAGTTAGCAACCGAGTGCAGTCTTCTTTTTGTCGAACTCTTCCGGTAAACTACCACATCCTTCAAAAAAAAGTTTCCAATAAACCCTTCATGTCACTTATGAGTAACAGTCAGCATTCTCTCAGGCCATAAAGTATCTCATCCACCGGAAGTGTGGCGCTCAGAGGTGCGTGTGAACGTCCTGTGTCACATGTGTGTATAAAAGTTCAGAAACACGTGTCACACACCGCAAACTATCGCATCTGATTTCCTCAATGAGTGTAAAAGTGACGCAGCAAAAAGCAGAGCAACACACAGCTCCCTCTACCGCTGCAGACACACACACAAACACAAACGACAATCCATTCATGAGCGCAGCAGTCCAAAATCACCACGGCCCTGCTAACTCAACTCCATCTGACCTCTTCAACAAAACAACTTCAACAACGTTACCAAAACTAACCCACGAGAGACTCTCCACAACAAACCACAGTTTCATATCTACAACCACTAATAAAATCAACAATGCACTTCTGGACACAAAAAAATGCTATATATTACTTAAAAATGCAATTTATTCTTCAATGATGTAAACACCGTGGTATAAATATAGCAATTATCCAATGCATGCAAAAAGAAATAAATGCATGCATAAATACATGCATGTATAAAAGCATAAATAAATGCATGTATAAATGCATAAATAAATGCATGTATAAAAGTAATGCATGCATGCATAAATAAATTAATACATAGTCACAAAAAAATTTTATATATGGAAAATAATAACAAAATACCATTAAAAATAACATGTTTATTTATAGCACTTTTAGTTATTGAGTGTCTTCAATGCAGGATCAACCAAGTGGATTTATGCTACTATTGTTTTGCATGCTGTGTTTTCTCTGTAGTGTACTTGAAAGTACTGTATGGTGTATTTAAGACACATTTTCATAAGAGCAATCAACCTTTGCCAGTAAGCTTCGACTTCAAGTCGTGTAACAGCGGCAGTGGTGGTGGAGTGATTTGTTAGTCGGTGACTGACGCCTCCCATAGAGCTTCTGTAGCACTACTGACCCAGTGAGGAAACACACACACACCCAGACACACAAACCAGCCAGAACACCACAAAACACTCACACACTATCCAGCACAGCTCGGCTATAAACTGCCCTGCCTCAATAACTGCATGACTTCTTGATGAAAACAAACTAAAGTCCAACAGAAATGAGAAATGAGTGACTATAACCAGTGTTTAGATGTTCAGTTCTTCATCTTTCCATCATCACCATCCACATTTATTGTTCTCGTGTTATATTATTAGTTCTCATAATGGCATTTCAGTAGTTAAACAACAGCATTGTGTTATCTAACAGTTAGACACACACACTCACACACACACACACACACTATCCAGCACAGCTCGGAAATAAACTGTCCTGCTTCAGTATCTGCATGACATGCATGACAACAAACTAAAGTCCAATAGAAATGAGAAATGAGTGACTATACCCAGTGTTTAGACGCTCACTTCTTAATCTTTCCATCATCATCCTCCACATTTATTGCTCTCGTGTTATTAAAGTTCTCATCTCCATATCTAAATGACATTACAGTAGTTCAACAACACCATTATGCCATCATGACACTGTTATCTCATCATAAAGTCTGTTAGTTAGACATGGAATACCAATAAAACACACTGACAGGCGTAATAAAGTATTTATGACACTTGTCTCCAGCACTTTAGACGGTCATTATTAATAAAAATCAGATTTGAGATGTGATCTTCTAAATGTACTATGAGAACTACAGGGCTGTGTCTCAAATCCTAGTGTGTGTCTTCCTAGACAGCAGCAGTTTTGGTCCGCAAAGGCAGGGTGTTAAAGTAAGAAGTTCCCAAACTTAGTGAGCTGACTGTAGAGCTGAGCGCAGACACACGCGCTGCTGTCTATGTAGGCAGCTCACTAGGATTTGAAACACAGCCAAAGTGCCGGTTTATACAACAACAATAACAGCTTCACTGATTTTTTTAATAGCTATTACGCGTCTTACCTTTGTCTCTGTCTCTTTTCCAGCTCAGTAGAAATGTTTAAGTAAAAGCAATTGCCGTGAAGTGCAAAAAATATCAGCTGCTCGCTCGATCGCTGCACGTCCC